CCCCAAAACCCCAAAACCCCAAAACCCCAAGATTTTTGTAGAATATTGGAGTGAAAATAATTTTATTATAATAAAATGGAATGTAAAGATCAAACAACTCTAGAGCATCGCACTGAGGTTATAAGGTAGGTTTGGAGTTGAGTTTGAGTCAATCAATAAGCAGACATTCTAGGTCTGTTATCTTAAGCTGAGAGAAGAGATTTATGACATTTGCCCTTCACATCCACAAATTTTCTTATACTAGAACCCTTCATTTCTCCCACAAAGCAATAAATATTCTTTCCGCTTCAAAAAGACTCTCGCTCCCTAAAACACTCTCCAAATCCTTTAATCTCCCCATATCTCCCTCAAAAAATGTCAAAACTAAACCCCAACAACATTTCCCCCATATCTCTCCCAAAGCCCCAAAACCCTGCATCCCTCCCCATTCACCCAAAGCCTCACCCCATTCCCCACTCCACATCCCCAAAATCCCAATTCTCTTAAGAGTCACGCCCAAGACCTGAAAATCTAGAATAGCTCAAACTGTAGCAGAGGAGAGTTAACCAGCCGAGTTTTAGGGAAGATGAGGGATCAGGAAGAGGGATGGGTGGGGGTTTAGTGGGCTTATTGGGGTTTTGAAAAGAATTATTGACTGAAAAATTGAACATTTTGGTGGGTTGGGTGAGATTTTATGATGTTTTGATGGGTTTTGATGGGTTTTCATTGATTTTATAGGAAATTTTGAGTAATTAATCTATTGAGAAGGCTTATTTTTTCAAAGAAGATGAATGCGGAACTACTAGATACAACATTTTGGGAGGATTCAGAGAATTATGACTTTAGTTTTTGCTTAGAACACTCAAAATATATAAAATTAATAAGAAAGATGAAGTATATAAAATTTATGAACACAAACAAGCTCAACTTAAATGACATCACAGACAGAAAAAAGCATATTTGCGATTTCATGAACTTCTCATTTCCGAATAAAGTCAATCACCTCAGTATTTCGTCATTTACTCTGACAAAGCTGGGTAGATCGGGTTACTTTAACTCATTGGCCAGACTAAGCCCTAAAATTTTACAAGATGTTACCTTCCAGCAGTGCTGTATAAGCGATGGCCAACTTAAGAGGCTGATGGCATCCTTCAGACATGTGCAAGTATTGAAGCTTTGGTATTGCAAACTATCTGTTCCGACCATTCCTGATTTCACAAAAGCACTTAAAAATTGCCAGATAAAAGAGCTTGATCTATTTGGATCAGGAGGCATTGAATACAGCGATTGGGAGAACAACCTTGAAGAATTCATGAACTTGGTAAAAGGTTTAGCAAGTTCGAAGGATTTCAGATTAAATTTTAGAATATTAGAGATAAGTCACTGCTTAATAGAGGAAGAAGAAGTAGAGAAAATATTTCACGCGAATCAACTTGGAGAAATTGAAATAATTTTGTAATACTTAAATTTACAATCAGTTGTTTCTGTATTAATTTTATTCAACTTAAAGTAATAGCTCTGGGGTTTTGGGGTTTTGGGGTTTTGGGGTTTTGGGG